TCGCGCACTCATTGTGCTGATGTATTCTACCGCGTCTAAGCCAGCGTTTCCAAACAATCCCACAGAAACAGAAGACCACAAAATAACGCTGGTCAACAAAGCAACGCCGCTCACGCGCACGGGGGCTGGGCTTGTTCGGGCACGTCATGCGAACGTCACCTCTTGGTCGGACGCCGGAGAGGGTGGGGAAGAGTCTTGGCTTGCGAACGCTATGCGGAGGAGTGGCAAGGGTTTCGAGCTCGTCTCCTCTCACCCTCGTTTTGTGCCGCTTCAAAAAAAAAAAAAATTGCCCGCAGCTTCCCTCGGGGGAACACTGAGGAGGATGCGGACCATATAATTGGTTAACGGGGTGTTAAAGTGCGACTTACTTGGGTCGATGGCTAAATTGGTTAACGTGGTTGTGAAATGGGGTGTTAAATTGCGACTTACTTGGGTCGATGGCTAAATTGGTTAACGTGGTTGTAGGAGGGGGTGTTAAATGAGTGAACACGTACACACGTATGCGAAAGGGCGGCGCTGGTCGAAGGGACGTCGATCATTGTGTTTGTGGATTCGTTGGAATTCATTTCACCGCGACCTTGGACGTCGACGCGCCGTACAAACCAACCGACGAGCGGCAACTGAGCGAGCGAGCGCCGACCTTGAGTATATATACAGCACGACGGCGCATGCACTGTCAGCTGTTGAATGTTCTCGAAGCGCGACGCCACATGCGCGTCCACTGGAGAATCAGGAGAATTGTAGATGTCGAACGCGGTGTGTAGAGGAGGAAGGGTGCACAGATGGTGGAGGAGTGAAGCGCGCGCGGTGTGTAGAGGAGGAAGGGATGCACAGATGGTGGAAGAGTGGGCGACGGCGCGACGGCGCATGCGCGCGCGTCAGCTGTCGAATGTTCGAGAAGCGGTGCGGACGGCGCACTACAAGGCGCGAGTATAAGATGCTCCGCATCTAAAACTTGTTTTTTTCCGCTTGTAATGAGCCGATTCCAAACATTTTTGTGGCAAAGCGTTCCTCATGGAACACCCAACGACTTCCACTGTCTAACTAAAATTCGGTATGGAGCCTGGTGAGTGGCCCTTTAACGGGGATGTGCCGCTGTGCGGCCGACCAGAAAATGGCAAACATTGGTCTACAGTATGCGATGTCGCCTTCTTGCAAAAGAAAATGTCGAATATTTTGATAGCGTGTTTCATATGTGTAATTATTTGTCTCAGTGGGAACTGACCTTGTGTGTGGAAATTGTGTACAAACGTATCTGATAGGTGAATACGAACTACCATGTGTGTGAAACATATGAGCCCATTAGTTGTATGGGAACTGACCTGTGACGTTTGGCTATGGTGTACTTTCACATCGTATGTTTTGCAGTCTCGCATTTCGTGTCCTTATTGTTTATCTTACAGGATATCTTGTCCACCAAGAGAAAAGGAGTAGCCGGTGCCTGCATAATGGCACCAACCTCTCCAATCTCATCCTTTTAATAAAAAAAATAGCTATCACAAATGGGTATGGGCAGTAGAAATTGTGTAAATCCCACTAAGAAATGCGAAGCACTATTGACATCGGTCTGACTGCCTGCCTACCTGCCTGTCTGCCTGTTTGTTGTGGTTGCAGTGCTGACTACAGAATTCTATGAACATTACATACGTACTCCTATGACATGGCGGCCACGTCGGGTTAACGTTAATTGTAGTGAAGCGCCCGTGAAGCTCATTTAACAAGCAGTGTTTAGAGCCCCCATCCTCGCTGGCATAAACGCTGCATGTTAGCTAACCACTTCTGGTCTTGCAAATACGCATGTTACTGTTGGCCTCGTAACGCAACAGTAAACACGCGACTGTTTAACCTGCGTCTGTTCGTACAACAATCATACGTATATTTAGCGTCCTTTCAAAACGTATCGCTTAATAAAAAAATTACAACATGGGCACGCTCTCTCCGCATGCTTCGTATACCGTCGAATCCCAAAGTACGTGTAATCTGCCAATTTTTCACTACTGGTGGACGAAAATTGAGCAAGCCAAAAGTTAGCCTAATGAATGGCTGTGACAGTGGCGTACAACGTTAGAATACAAGCGAACACGGAAGGCAGAGACAACTCCGAGAGGACAAAGAAGCGATGAAGCCCTTCGCGAACGATGGCGTGCCCGTAAACCTGAGAGTTGCGCAGACGCTTTATTTTAGAGCGAGTTCTGCCTGTGGACTTTAGACAACCATGTCGCATCTGTAACCATCTCTGGTTAAACTCAAACTTTGCTGCGCTGAGATTCAAATTAGGAACAGCCTAGCATCACTTAGTATTGATCTTTAAGCGGCTTCGAAACAACTTTCATCGCCTACCTAAGGCCAAGATGAAATTAGACAAGTCTTAAGAATCGTCCTGTTTTACTGTTTCAAGGCCTGCGCGGCACACTGCCGGCGTCGCTTTTTTTGGACACTCCTATCAGTAGAGGTTGACGTTGAGAGTACATCACACAGTTTCAGGAGTCATTATAGTAATCCCGGTGTCATAGACCAATTTATACAGGCGGCTGATGCCTGTGCAAGAGCCTTTACAGTCTGGGCACAAATATAAGGCATGTCTTAGCTCGCTACGCCGGAGGCACCGTTTATAGCGCAGGATCGCCTTATCCCAATTAACGACACCTACTGGCACTACCCACGAGAACGTTTATACTTTCCGCCGCTCTTGCATAAAGGCCTCACAGATGTAAAATTTTGTGTCGACAGCGACAGGCTTGCATATTTCCTTCCACTTACCTTCTCTACTGTATTCATCCCTCCACTTACCCTTCACCAGCTTGCAACTTGTGAGCCTCTTCCACAACAGACTTAAGCTGCATCATGTGACACTTCCCCACGCATACTCCGCCCCGTTTCTCGAAACACTTAATATCTAGCGAAAAGCACAGGGGGTTACTTAAGTTAAGCAGCTCAAGCACAGACATTTAGGAAGGACGACGCCATTCTGAAGTAGGCTGAATGAAAAAAGCAGACCTTCTTCAAGATTCTCTCCCCCCCCCCCCCCCCACACACACACCTCCGGTCTACACAATTTTTGTCTGATTGTATCCTTTGCTTTCAGGAAGAAAAACTAAAATGATACATTCATTCATTCATTCATTCATTCATTCAAGACAAAGAAAAATAAGCGCCGAAATTTCGCATAATGCAAACAGGAGACGATTTTCTTTTAAACAGCTGCATCAAAGGGCAATTGATGGCATGCACCAACACATGAATCGCCTTGCTTAGTTAGTACCACCCATGCTTCCGCAATCGTATGTTTATTGAGCTGTTGGCTGACGCACCAATCGCTCTCGTATATGTCGACACTAAGCTCTGATTCATTGTAAGGTGTCACAGATGCCCCAAGGTACGAGACAAAATAAAGAGAAAATGTCCATGATAATGCAATGAATAAGGTTTCACTACTCAAAAGTACAATGGTAGAGCAGGTTGCATTTGGAAATAAAGGTACTCCTTTACTGTTAAATAAGTACTGCAGCATTGCTTTTTCATCCGTTCATGTAAAGTCTACCTAATCTATGACACCCAACCCAATGTTTTCAACAAATGGTTTTCTACAAAGCTTTGAAAGCACTCTGAGACGCAATAAATTTTTTTCGTGCAAGTCAACTGTGATATTTGGAATAGTTCAGTACACAATAAATTAACCTGAACGTGCACATAACTTTTTTATTTTTGTATCTTGGATTTATGACGAAAAATTTACTTAAAATATCGAAAATGCCTTCATCTCGTCAGAGTCGCACCCATAGAAGGAAATGCGCCAGTTTTCCAGCATTGTAATTTAATGGTTCAAGTGGTGAACTGCTAATCTCGAAGACAAGGTTTCGGCCGCACTTTTATGGGTATCATTATTATATAAAAATACTTGTGTATGTAGCTTTATCCGTAGGTTCAAGAAGACAAAGTGATGAAACTCATTCTCGAGCCTTCTACATCCCGTAATTAAGCAAGTATAAACCTACTGGTTTTTAAGCACTATAAAGGACAGGAATAATTGTTAATATTATTAGATAAGTCTGTACACCACTGTGGCATCACAATAGTGAGCTAAATGTGTTTCGTAGCAAAGATGAAACGTAGTTCATAATACCAAATAAACCATAAAAATGTCGGAGGTGGTATCACCGTCAAGTTTTAATGCACCAGAGTGAGCTGACAGGTTAACTTCAATACGACGTGGCCACCCGTATTCTTTTATAATCTTTCATGGTTTTTCAAGCCTTCTATAGTGGTAACAGCTGCTGAATATTGTAGAATATCAATAATTAAACATATCTGAAATATTGACGGTGGTGTTTACAGAAAGTTCCGCGGCTGAGATGACCTGTGGGATCACGTGCCGCGAACATGCCTTTCTCATAAGCAAAATATCAACAGCAACTATAGCTTGGGAGGTATCTTAAAATAAGTTTAAGTTTGTGCGAGTAATCGACTCTATCGCGCTATTGACATCCTCAAACAGGGTGTTTGAGGATCCCTACTTCCTTCACGTGACCTCACTGCAGCAAGTTATTAGGGCGTCATAGTGGGAATTTATCTTTGGTCGCGTATCTCCAGCAGACTATAACTCGGTTTCGGCTCCTGAGTCCGTTTCCTCTTCAAAAAAAAAAAAAAAAACTTCTTTGCGCATACCGCGCGGAAGTACGTTCCAGTTCTGTGAACTCACATGGTCGAGCATTGCGCCAGCTAGATGGCGATAGCGAAACCCGGTGGCATGTCGTTATTGAAACCCAGACTGGTACCAATCGCTAATAGGGAGCTTGCATTTATTATCTGAGGCACACTGCAGAAAACGATGCATTGCGTTTTGAACTACAGGCCTCCAGGGCCACATAGCAGCAACAAAAAAATGCGAGGACAAAATGTTTGTGTGACTACCCCTTTAAGCCACAAGCCTTCCTTCAAAAGCGTTGCTAGAAGCGTCCGATGTAGATAAACCTGGCCCTTCGCACGCCTCTGTCGTGCAGGTGCTAAAGGTGAGCGAACGCGAGTTCCTGGAAGGCATGGGCGTCTACTTCGTGTCGTTCCTGGCCCAGTACGGCTACGACCGCGTCCTCTCTGTTCTCGGTCGCCACATGCGTGACTTCCTCAACGGACTGGATAATCTGCACGAGTACCTCAAGTTCAGCTATCCACGCATGAAGGCGCCCTCGTTCTTCTGCGAAGATGAGTCTTCGACGGGACTGACACTACACTACCGGAGCACGCGGCGAGGGTACCTGTGGTACACCGTCGGTAAGTGTTGCGCTCACCAAACGAGGGACATCCTTCATAAAACATTTTGTACGAGGAATCCAAGCACTCACGCTTTATGAGCAAAGGACTTGATATATGAAAAAAATTCTCCGTACAAAAAAAAAAGGTTCGTTTACCCGGTGGCCTACCCCAAATTTCTAAAAAAAAAGTAGCGAGAGAGAGAAAAAGAAGGGGAGGAGGAGGAAGGGAAGAAATGAAAGGCAGGGAGGTCAACCAGACTCACGTGCGGTTTGCTACCCTGCACTGGGGGAAGAAATGAGGGGATTAAAGGAGAAGAGAGAGAGAGAAGTGAAGGGGAATGTGTGTGTAGATGTGACCTTGTCCATTGCACGCTTATAAGCGGTCGCGTAGTCCGGTCGTCCTTAGAAAACTTAGCAATGCCCGCGTCGCTTTGCTGGCCTGTGACGCGTAGAGCCATGAACCAAGGATCTTCTCTTCGGAAAACGGTCTACTGTCTAGTGTCTCTAACGTTTCGCGCAGCAAGTTGCGTTCGCTCGCAAAACGTTCACATGAACACAGTAGATGTTCTATTGTCTCGTCAGTGTCGCACGATTCACATCGGGAGCTATCGGCCATTCCTATGCGAAAGGAGTATGCCTTCGTAAAAGCTACTCCTAACCACAGGTGGCACAGTAAAGTTGCATCTTCGCGGGAGAGGTCCGATAGAGAAAAAGAAAGCATTTTAGGCTATACAGTTGCTCTCGTGAAAATTTCTCAGCCAGTCGAGATGTGGTACGTATTATTATATACACCTCACAGCCCACATTTCCGGCTGTATTCCGAGGTGAGAACTTTAAGTCATAGTGTCGCATTGCCAGACGTAGTACCTGCCACATCCAACGTTTGAAACAGTGGTTTTGTTGCTAATTTTATTCAATTATTGAGTCAGCAGGTATTGAGAGTGCTTGAAGGGGCTGAAAGCGGGCATTTATCCATTCGAAGACATCGAACGTGTAGAACGTATAATAATCTGAGAATACACTCCTAATCAGGTCTCGACTAGAGTGCTACATATGGTCAGGAAACGGGACATTTTTTGTGTGCCTGGATACAGCTAGCATCTAAACAGAGCGTGATCAAAAATATAAGGTCCATGGTCAGATATTTTAACTTAGGAACAAGTGCTTTACCCTAACTCGGAAGTGGGCAAGTTTCACTGAAATTTGCATTTAGAACCACCAGAGATAGCTGATGATACTTACAAAATCAATGTAGTGGTAACTAAGCCCCTTTTAATGAAAACACACAAACGCCCATTAAAACATTTTCCAAAACAAACAATACCAGTGCTTCGAGGCCCACGGGAAAGCGTTATGCTCTCCCATACTAATGTACAAATTTAATTTCTCCAAATTATAAAACTTTTACTAAACAGAGCTCTCAAGCATATTAGTGCAATAGCAGATCATCAAGTATTAAAGCGAAGGAGCAAAAAGCAAGTTTTTTCCAACTCTTGACCTTTTGCCGACTGCATAAATAGGCATCATTATTGTCACTTTTAACCTTGTTTTCGAGTAGTTCTGTCAATACTAATTTTCAGTGCTTACAGGCTGAAAACTTGATGCACGAGCATATTATTGCCCGAAAAATGCGAGAGACTTAGGCGAGAAAAAGGGGTTTGCTTTCCTATAGCCGGCTGAAAGTGGTAAACTGAACATACAGGAAACAGAAATAGCTCTAGGATGATTCCCGAGGAACGGGTATGCAATTCCATGCAGTCTCAATTGAACGGGAGTCATATTGATACAGGAGAGAGCTGTATTAACACAATGTTTGTGCGTTTACCACCTTCACAAAACATTGATCTGGAAATTATTCTCAAACTCTATGGCACACCTATATTGAAAGAAGTTAAGCGGAAGGAGTCTATAAACGTCTTCAGTGTATGTGAGTGGCCCATGCAGATATAAAACTACCAGCTCATTGAATGCTAGGCGCGAAGCTCTGCGTGTTGTGCCATCTAACAACCGTCTTTTTCACCCTAAAAACTTCGTTCCTAAAAAAACAAGCATGCAATCACGTGAATAAAGATGTTCCCACGGAAGCTACATGCAGAGCCTCTTTTCTTCTTCGAAACCAGGTCAGATCAAGGAAGTTGGCCGGCACTTCTACAATACGGAAGTTGAAGTGGATGTGCTGAAGGAGGAGTCAATCTTCAACACGCTACACGTCATCATGAGGCTCAATTTCGACAATATGGCTTACCAACCGCCGTCTTTGAAGCTGGTAAGATGTCCTGCTCAAGCGAAGACAGATAAAAAAGAAAGCGCTACGTAGTATATATACATATGGCTCTTAAAATTGCCAAGCATAATTTCAAAAAGGTTATGTCCAGAAATCTGAGACGTAGACTAGTTCGGCAAAGCCGACCCCTAGGGAAAGCGCTGGGTGTAACTCCAAGGGGAACGTTCTTCAAAAAAAAAAAAGGTTACTGAGCAATGCCTGATTTTTCACTAATTTTATTTTATACACTCAATGCTGACAACGTCCTTATGCTGTAGAACACAATTACTTTTCATCGGCCAGCTGGATTTTTATCGGAGACGCTTTTGTGTATACGTTAAAAAGCTATGGGGTGATTTTGAAAAGGTAATTGTAGCGCAACGATAAATTACTCGCTCATCGCACCCTATTGACATGTACAGTAAAATAGCCTGGTTTTGTGTTAGCAATTTTGTGAAATTACGCTGGTTGGATTATTTTCTTGAAGAGCTTTCCCAAGTCAATAGTGCAGAATAGCAGCATTACAGCGGTAAAATAATTACCTGCCGGTAAATCGATGCGAAAGTGGACGTGGATCATGGTAAAACCTAAGAAAAAATCTGCAGATGTGAGTACATTATTATGTACACCTTGAAGGTCTGTACAACACGTGGTGTAAAAAACTGTAAAATAAAAGCGATGTCTCGAATCGCTGAGTATGGGACAACAAACGACCGAAATTTAGGACAAAGTCTTATGAACGTTCTTTTAAAATGTGCCGTTTGGATATAGCAGTCATTAGTGCAAAAAAACTACGCTAGTGTTTAAGCACTAAGAAACATTCTAGTCGAAATAAAATACAATAGAATAAAACGTAGTTCATAATACCAATGAAATCATTAAAAAGGTCAGATCAGGTATCACTGTCAAGTTTTATTGCACCAGAGTGATCTGACGTGTTTACTTTGATGCGACACGTCCACCCGTTATTTTTAGCAAGTATGGACTGAGAGACTCACCGACGAACCTACTCAATAACGCTGGAATTTCAACACTACAAAATCGAACAAAACTAACAAGACTAAAACTAATGTTTCAACTACTCCACAACATAATAAAGATACCTCAAGGTATCTATCTTTTTTTTCACGGTAGACCAACCTGTCATAATCATCCCTATGCTCTTGTAGAATACTCTTTTAACACTAATCGCTTTAAATACTCATTTTTTGCTCTGACTATTAAAGATTGGAACTCGTTGAAACCCACCTTAAGTACCGAATCATCCATTATCTTGTTTACAGCTGCGATTGAAAGCGAATTGCTTGACTCACAAATCACACTACAACAACATATCATCAATAAACCTAATAAACGATTCAGTGTCCTATTGCTAATACAAATGTTTTGTTTTTTATAATTGTTATTTTCAAGTGACATGTTTTTCAATTAGCTTATTGTTGATTAAATTCTTTCAATAGGGTCAATAAAAATGCCTACTTTTTTCCCTCTTCCATATTAGAAATGCATGCATTATCTTTTCGCAGTCGTTTTTAACGATAACCTAGTTCATGATTTTGTTTTGCTATTACTGAAATTGTTTGATCGCGTGTTCTATATAAGCAATGTATAACGTATGATGTGCATGTCATTTTGCAATTCCGGCTTTTTGTGTGTTTTATATCAATATGAATCTGTGTAAACAAATATTCGTTTTCATATGCCTTCCCTGCTATATTCTCTGATGAGATTGGAAGTATTGTTAAATAAAAATGAAAATAAAATAAAATGCAGAAAGCTGGGGAATGGTAACTAACTTTATTGACAGCTATGCTATAATTTGCCTTCTCATCAAAAGCATCTACCTAAAGGACCAGAAAAGCAGACGCTTTTAAAGACGATAGTCTTTCTTGGGCACCTTTGACTAACAAATTTTGGTATGCCAGTCTGTTTGTCTGTCTGTCTGTACATTTGTCTGTTTGTTCTGTTTGCACGGTACCGGGTACTCTAAACGGCAGCAGCCGATACTCCAAACAGCCGACGCCATCCGCAGCGCCCACCAATGTTGCTTAAGATTCAGCGTTCATGCTTGTGGAATTGTAAAATAAAAAGCAACTATTGGGCATATCTGAGGCACAATAACAACATGTATATATTCAGTATGTGCGTCTTTTACTATGAAAGCATACATAAGTAATTCTAAGTAGCGTAGCATTTATCAGGATGCGCTGACCCTGCAAAGCTTGCACGAAAAAACAAGTGTTTCCAACGCTTTGCTAAGACGACATGGTCATGCCACCTACCCGTCGCCTTGCGTACCATACCTTATCACCTCTGAGACGGGCGTGCACGCACGTCTCAGAGCCGCACGCTTCGTTTTCCAAGATAACTGCCAGATAGCACTCATGTCTCACGTGTGACGTGACTTGATGCACTCGTTCGCCTCCGCTGCTGGCTCGAGGCACACGCAGCACCTTCAGAAGACCATTCAGCGATATTATTGCGCAGAACATCAAATAAATGTTTTGTTTCCTCTCTCCAGACGCAAACTATCATCTTTGGACGACCTTTGCAGATTACGTGCAGATACGGGGCCAATTTTTTTCTGTCTTATTTAAGCTTGTCTAGAAATGGTTAAGCGCAATGATTGATGGGAAATATCTCTAGAATAAAATGTTTAACTATGACCAAGTTCGATTAGGCAAAGGTGGGCCTTCATACAAAAAAGTAAATAAATACATTAACCGCAAAAATGTGCGGCTGAATATTATTCAGTAGATAGGCAAGCGATTTGAAGCAGTGTGCCTTGAGAGCAAGAATTTTGATTAGTGGTCAGCGTGTGGAATCTTCGCTAAGAATTGCCTACTTTGGCCTTACAGTAGTGGGGGAGCCAGTCATGAAAAAAAAATTACAACACAATAAAAGTAATGCTTAGTGTATCGCTAGTTGGCATTAAACTGTGGTTAGCAGCTTGCCGTTATATTTGCAATGCAATAGTGTAAGCATTCTACGAATTCTCGCGCAAGGTGCAAACTCAGAAGACAACAAAGAGACTTCAGAAGATAAGAACTGCTAAACTGCAGCGATGGAACGTAAAAGACCTGACGTAAAATTGCGAGACTAACATGGTAGTGGGTGTTAAAAATCGAACAAAAGCAAGCTACCTTCTAGTAGGTATTGATTGCATCTTAAAGATTTTTAAGGAATAACATAAAAGGGAAGGGCCACCAGTGTCAAATGAATATTGTTGAGTAAATATTTTAAAATAATAAAAATTTAAAAATTTCGTGTATGTGCTGGAATTCAGAAAACGAAGTATAAACGCAATGCATATCACAGTAGAACTGCTAATAAATGTGAAACAATTTTCTGCCTACTGCAGACACTTTGAACGTTTCTATCTACGCATCTATTTGTCTATTCATCTAGACGCCTACGTCTTGGTGCTCTGGTTATCACCTTCTTAACCTGGGGTAGACCAAAGTTAGTATGATAGCAGTGTTCAACGATTATGACTGTTTGGTGATGACTTCAACAGTGGGAAAATTTCGTCACGTACGACATAAAGCCATCCACTCCCGAAACTTGTGGAATACGGCGACACGTGTCCCATGGGCTGTGGTATGCTCGCGAAAGAGTGAGATTTGTTTGACTGTTTATATCTACCGAGGAATGGCGAGAAGCGACACCGATAATTTAAATGCAACAACATAAGGAAAAACTAATGTTGGCTTCGTTGACCCAACTATTTAAAATGACATGTTAAGCACCCAGTAGGAATGTAACCCAAGCACTCTGCGTGGCAAACAAGTCTACTACCACAAACTCACGCCATGTCTCGAAACTGCTTTGGAAGAAATCACTGCATATCCACAGAGTGGTGATGATGAGAGGGGAGAAAGGTCCGTCTATTCGTCCGTCCGTCCATCTAGTGAACATCCCAAGTACCGCGATCTCACAAATTTTCATCATATATTCATTTTATAAAAGTACCGCCGTCCAGCAGACATTCTAAGGATTAAACGAGAGGTGGCTACTACGACAACATGAGACATTGACCCATGGCGTAAGCAGTTTTTCTCCTGAAAAAGCCTATGCAGGCGTAATACTGGTGAAACGGCATTTGGGGTTGCAGTGCTGGCCGTCTAATTTTATAAACATTGCTCTTGTACTCTATTGATACAGGCATCGCGTCGGCTTAGCGTCAATTGTAGTTAAGTGCCGTCCACTGAAGCTAGTCTAAGCAGCACTATCCAGGGCTACTATTTTCGCAAGCACAAGCACAACATTTCAGCCTAATGCTTCTTGTGTTAGTAATTTCTATGTTTCTCTTCACATCTTCACCCAATTGTATGCAGTGTACATAAATTATACGTGACGGTTCAACGTACTTATTTGTGCATATATCGTTTTTACATATGTTTAGCGTCAATTCGACAAAACAATTCACTAAAAAAATTATACTACAGCCCGTTCGTATGCCATCACTTTCTACGGTACCTGGAATCTGCCGATTGTAATGGTGTTCATTTTTTATGAAGGAGGCTAGCACGTTTTATATTTGGAGATCAGTTCCGAGACATTCGCAGACGCACGAGAACTCGACTTTATGTTAATAAAGAATGTAGAGGCCTGCCAACACCTTTTTGTTCTAGTGACACAAAATCCTACACATCCACTTACAGCAAACATTCAGAATCGTGCCGGATCGCAAATACGCCATTTGTACCGACAGTACATTTCGAGGCTTCCTGTATCGGCATATTAGACACTGGACCTACAGTACCTACCACAGCTGCTTGCGCTACCAACAAATGAAGTGTCAATAGAGAGAATTCGCCGCAAACATGATGTACCAATCGTTGCCGCATGGCTGGTGGCCTCCCATCACGTGTTTCACAAGTACCAATGCTACACTCACGTGTACACTGAGGGCTTCGTCGCTAAAGAGACCGTGTAATCAGTATTTATCATTCCGGAGTTACGTAAAAAATACGCTTATCGATTGGGCCATCTCTTTTCTT